CACCCTCTGCTGCTCGTGAGAAGCCATCTCCGATCCTGCCGAAGGACAGCCAGCTGCCAGGAGATGTGGATGTGGCGTTTCCCCAGACCCCAGCCGGGTCTGCAGCACCAGCTGGAGCGTCCAGCCGCTTCTGGGCTCTCAGGAGGACCAGGGCGGGGGTCAGGAGCCACACCCACATTCCCTGGTCCCTGCAGTGTCAAACAGTGGGGTGGGCACCGTCAGGAGATCCAGTCAAAACAAGGCTCAGTTTCAGCTTTGCTACTTTCTGGCTGCGTGAGCTTGGGTAGTTTATTTAAACCCTTGAACTCCACCTTCCTCATCTGTAAAATGGGCATGAGAGCATGCAAGACAGAAGGCTCGAACTACTTTTTTAGAAAAATGTTTGCATCATATTCCACACATGGTTTCTTCTTTTAATATTTGTTTATTTATTGGCTGTGTCCGGTCTTACTTGCTGCCTTTGTGCAGCATGTGGAATCTTTAGCTATGGCATGCGGGATCTAGTTCCCTGACCAGGAATCGACCTCAGGCGCCCTACACTGGGAGCTCGGAGTCTTAGCCATGGGACCACCAAGGAAGTCCCGAATCAAGCTACTTTGGATTCAGAACAAGTGAATTACTCGAAAGTTCTGTACAAATAAGAGAAGCTATATTTTCGTGTCATCTGCACATAGAAACTTTCTCCCGCATTTTTTGGTGCACTTAGTTTTGAAATATTTCAGGTATAAAATGTTTTATTATAAATAAAATAAACACTATAAAATATCAAAACTTTTTTCAAAGCTTCCTAGTCGCTCTTATAACTCAGTAGTACTTCGTTAGGATTAACCCTTCATCTTAAATGCAGATATACTGAGAAGATTTTAGAAAATTCTAAAATTCTTCATTACTACTAGAGAATTGGACTTGCCCCCAGAAACCACACATGCAGCACCAGGAAAACCATTCTTGGCTGCCTAAAATATCACTGACTCAATCTGTCTCTTGGAAACATGACAAATTATAACGTACCGTGAACCCTTTCATCTCTGTAAGAACTGAAAAAGTGAATGTTTTCTGCAAATGCCAAGAGTTATACCGTTTTTATCATTCTGTGTATGCCTTTTCTGTGTTGATGTGTTTCAGACAGATGAAACTGAGATATCTGTGCAATTTTGTTTCCCACTTTTTCCATTTTAAATCATCTCATGCATGTCTGTCCAGGTGTCTGCATAGGCTTAACCCAATTTCTGTGGCTGCCTATTGTCCATCTTGTTGTTACATCATCATTTACTTCTTTGGTCCCCTTGGCTGGACATTTGTGTCTCTCAGTGGCTTTCAGACGGTCATTTTGAAAGTGGCCGTTGAAAGGCTATATGTCCCATTCTCATCATTTGCCCACACGTGCACACACACACACAGACATACACATACAACTGCTAGAGCAGAGTCCCAAGGAATCTCAAGGATACATAACTCAGGAAGTAAAGAGATTGAGAAATGAAGTTTAGATCCCACGTTTCTCAGATGTAGCCATGTGGATCCTTGGAGAAAGTGTTAAATCCACCTGAGACATGTGAACCGAGGATTGGGGAGTGAGGGGTTGGGAAGGTAGATATTTCTTGATCTTTTCTGTCCTCTATACCTTTCCCCCACCACCTCCTACAGCGCCTTCAAGACAATATGGACCTAGACTGGTGTCTTAAACAAGGATAAGTCAATTCTGGTTGATGCGCCAAAAAACCACTTAAGCAGCTTGGCCCGGAGGTTAGGATCATGGGCTCTGGAGCTGGCAGCCACGAGTCTGAATCCAGATTCCTCCACTCACTAGCCCAAGGGCTGGTCGAGTCTCTTGACCTCGCTGTGTCTGGCCGTCCTTCTGAAGTACCCAGCACACAGGAAACACCATGAAAGTTAAAGCTGCTGCCGTTACTTTACAGCATATGTTACGGTTCACAAAGCTCTTTCACATATATCAGTATTATTTCATTTCCTCATCACCAGCAAGCTGGGCAGATGGTATCTTATCCCCATCTAACTTTACTTTGTCGACAAAGATCCGTCTAGTCAAAACTGTGGTTTCTACAGTAGTCGTGTATGGATGTGAGAGTTGGACTATAAAGGAAGCTGAGTGCCAAAGAATTGATGCTTTTGAACTGTGGTGTTGGAGAAGACTCCTGAGAGTCCCTTGGACTGCAAGGAGATCCACCCAGTCCATCCTAAAGGAGATCAGTCCTGAATATTCCTTGGAAGGACTGATGCTGAAGCTGAAACTCCAGTACTTTGGCCACCTGATGCGAAGAGCTGACTCATTGAAAAAGACCCTGATGCTGGGAAAGACTGAGGGCAGGAGGAGAAGGAGACGACAGAGGATGAGATGGTTGGGTGGCATCACTGACTCAATGGACATGAGTTTGAGCAAGCTCCAGGAGTTGGTGATGGACAGGGAAGCCTGGCGTGCTGCAGTCCATGGGGTCGCAAAGAATCAGACATGACTGAGCGACTGAACTGAACTTAACAGATGAAAAGAAGGCTCCCAGAGGTCACGTAATTTACCTGAGGTCACACGGCTAGTCAGTGCTGGAGCTGAGACATGATGCTGAGCCCCTTGAGGGCAGGACTCCTGACATGCTTGCCTCTGAATCCTGCAGGAGCAGTCCAGATGGAGATTTGATGATAACACAAAACCTTGGCCCCAAGGAGCTCATATTTAGGGGTACGTCAGCTGTGTCTGACTCTTTGTGACCCAATGGACGACGGTAGCCTTCCAGGCTCCTCTGTCCATGGGGATTCTCCAGGCAAGAATACTGGAGTGGGTTGCCATGCCCTCCTCCAGGGGATCTTCCCGACTCAGGGATCGAACCTTTGTCTCACATGTCTGCTGCATTGGCAGGCAGGTTCTTTACCACTAGCGCCACCTGGGAAGCATATTTGGGGAAGGAAGACACAAAAACATAATTTCCAAAGACCCTAACACATAAAATTGCTTCCTATTTCTTAAATACATCAGGTCACCAGGTACTTTTTCCTGCTTTTACCTCCAGCTCCCAGTCTTTCTTTGTATTGACTTCTCAGCCTGGAGGGCCCAGCCCACTTGGCAAAATCTTTTTTTTTTTTTAACTTTTTATTTTTTCTTGGGGTATAGCTGATTAACAATGTTGTGATAGTTTCAGGTGAAGAGTAAAGAGACTCAGCCATGCACATACATGTATCCATTCTCCCCTAAACTCCCCTCCCATCCAGACTGCCACTTGGCATTGGGCAGAGTTCCCTGTGCTATACAGTAGGTCTTTGTTGGTCACCCTCGTTCTGAATATAGCAGTGTGCACATGTCCATCCCAGACTCCCTAACTACCCCTCCCCCGAGTCCTTTCCCCTCCTCTGCTCATCTTTTAACGCCTGACCATTTCTTCCATGTCATCATCCCCACTTGTCCCTGGTGGGAACTACTCCACTCCTCCTCTGTGCCGCCGTGGACCACACTCTGTGCTGCAGGAATGTCTGTCTATCTATAGTCGAGTTTACTGACTCATCAGCCAACCTGCAGTAGACTGAGCACCTTGAAGGCAGAGAGCATCTCTTATCCACAAATCCCCTGAGAGGCCCAATGGCAGCAGGCCATTAGAGGGTCAGTAAAGGATCAGGAGAAGGCAACGGCACCCCACTCCAGTACTCTTGCCTGGAAAATCCCATGGACAGAGGAGCCTGGTGGGCTGCAGTCCATGGGGTCGCGAAGAGTCGGACACGACTGAGCGACTTCACTTTCACTTTTCACTTTTATGCATTGGAGAAGGAAATGGCAACCCACTCCAGTGTTCTTGCCTGGAGAATCCCAGGGATGGGGTTGCACAGAGTCGGACACGACTGAAGTGACTTATCAGTAAAGGGTCAGGAAATGTGTCGTGCATGGATAAGCCCGCAGCTTCTGTGTAGGCGTGTGTGTGAGGGGTACAAGAGAGGCGGGAGAGGCTGTCAGACCAGTGCAGACACAGAAGGTGGGGGCACCTGACCCGGGGCCTCTTTATGGTGGGCTTCTTTCTTGAATGGAAAATGCTGGCTCTATCAGTCTCTACTCGTGTCCCCAGGGCCTGGCACAGTGCCAGGCCTGTGATGGGTATTCAGTAAGCGTTCACGGGAAGGACAGGAGGGAGGAAGGGAAGGTTTTCTAATTGAGTCCAGATCGGTAACTTTGGTTGAGACCCAGTACCTGGATCCAGATGTTGCCTGTGGCAGTTTTTAACAGGGTCAATTTTTGTCCCCTAGGGAGACATTTCAGTTCAGTTCAGTTCAGTCGCTCAGTCGTGTCCAACTCTTTGCGACCCCATGGACTGCAGCACACCAGGCCTCCCTGTCCGTCACCAACTCCCAGAGTTTGCTCAAACTCATGTCCATTGAGTCGGTGATGCCATCCAACCACCTCATCCTCTGTCATCCCCTTCTCCTCCCACCTTCAATCTTTCCCAGCATCTGGGTCTTTTCAAATGAGTCAGCTCTTCGAATCAGGTGGCCAAAGTACTGGAATTTCAGCTTCAGCATCAGTCCTTCCCATGACCACCCAGGACTGATATCCTTTAGGAAGTTTCCTGCATGGAGACATTTGGTGGTGTCTATAGATTTTTTTTTATTGTCACAACCTGGTAGTGCTACTCACTCCAAGTGGGAAGAACCTAGAGACACTGCTTTGCCAAGTATTTTACAATATGCAGGTTCACCTTCACATCAAAGAATTGTCCAGGCCAGAGCATCCATGGTATTACTGCTGAGAAGCCCTGGGATCAACCCAGAGCCGCATTCAGAGGTTGGAAGACTGTATCAGAGAGTCTTGCTACTTCAAGCATCCTTGGTTCCTAAACTCCAGACCCCCTGCCCAGAGGTCCACGCTGCATCAGTGGCTTAGTGTCCAGACCCTTCCAGGCAGCACCTGGGGAGTCGGAGGAGGACAGCCACCCTCCTGGCCCCCCTCACCCCCTACCTTCCCGCCAACCCGGGACCCTTGATGAGGCGGATGCTGTCTGTTGCAGGAGCTGCTCAGAGACCCGCTGTACATCGGCCTGAAGCACCGGCGCGTCCGCGGGGAGGCATATGATGGCCTTCTGGACGAGTTCATGCAGGCCGTGACGGACAGGTAAGTGGGTCAGCCCGCCCCTTGTGGAAGCGGACTGTTAAGAGATAGGATGACTAAGTCAACATGCGGTTTGGCAGAGACGCGTGCTTTTCCGGGTGGTCCGAAAATTCCAACTTGACCCCGTGTCCTCGGAAATCTCAAAGCCAAACGGGCTCGCTCTCTCAGAGAATCTTGGGGAGCCTAGAAGGGAGAGGAGGGGTGATGGCTGAAGGCCCTGTGATCGGGGGGGGGGCAGTTAAGTATCTGATGTCCCGGGAGGAAAACTCCCCTGGGCCAGCTGCTCTGGGTTCCTGGCAGAAATAGAGATGTTCTTAGTGTTCGGGGCGAGAAGTGTGTCCTTCTGATGGAATGGCCTGGAAGGCAGCTGGCCTTGTTAGCTGTCATTTTCCGGCTCCAAGGACCAGGCGGTGTTAATGAGCCACCGCTGCAGGCCACACGGGCGGGCCTGTGAGATTTACGAGGTGTCATCTCTACGCTAGGGTGCCGCCCGCCCCAGCCTGCCCCATCTGTCTGCCATCATTGCCACCCGCTCCCCCTACGGGGACTGGCATGCTGCTGGGCTGGCACGCTGGCTGGGAAACAGCCCCCGTCCTCCCACGCTGAGTCTGACAGGCCCATCAGTCAAGGCAGTCTCAGCAGCCCAGCTGGCCCCCACAGACCCAGCAGGTCCCTTCTCACTTGGAAGCCTCCAGCCTTGCTTGCCACCCAGGAGTGCCCAGGGAGGGCAGAGCTGGTCTGCACATCCTTGACAAGGGACCTCACTGTCTGAGTTCAGCGATTGGCTGGAGAGAGAGCTGGTCTGGCCTCTGCAACCCAGGACATCTCATCTGGGTGGGCTTTGGCGGTGGGCACACCCACCCCACCACTTCCAGGTCTGTGACCTTGGGCAGGTTACCAAACTTTAAAGCCTGCTCACCTGGATTCCTTATCCGGAGATAAGAAGAAAGCATTTTATTGTTGCTGTGGTTTTTGTCTTTATCTTTTTTTAATTATTTGCTTATTTTATTTTGGGCTGTGCTGAGTCTTAGTCGCTGGGCACGGGTAGCGATTTCTCTAATTGCGGCGAGCAGGGGCCACCTGCCATTGCAGTGCGCGGACTTCTCACTGCAGTGGCTTCTTGTGATGCCGAGGACTGGCCCTAGACACCTGGGCTTCAGCAACTGTGATGCACTGACTTGGTTGCTCTGTGGCATGTGGGATTCTCCTGTGCCAGGGATTGAACCCCTGTGCCCTGCATTGGCAGGTGGGTTCTTAACCATTGGACAACCAGGGCAGTCCCTGGTTTCATTTTTGAAGATGAGGGAAAGTAATAGTGAAGTTATATGAGGTGGGGATGATTCTGTAGAAAAGATGAGATTGATAGCGGAGTGTGGAGAATGGGGTGGACGGGCCGAATAAGCCAGGGGATGAGGGTCCAGAGTCCACCCAGGCTCTTTGTCCGAGATGGGAGCACAGAGCCCATCCACACAGAGGGAAGGCCACGCGCTGGGCACAGATGCCGGCAGGTGGGTAGATGTTGTGGGGGAGCCCGTGGGAGCTCTCCTGGATGACAGGGTCATCGGCTGAGAGTGAGGATGGGGACCGAGGGGGTGCAGGTTTGAGTTCTAGGAGGCAGGACCTGGAATGTCCCAACTAGGAGCTAGAGAATGGTTGCTGGGTGGCTTCACGGACCCCCTTCTGGTTACTGGTCATGAGTTTAACTTACCCGTGATCTTCTCTAGCCGGTTTCCACTGTCTGAATACAGGGCAGGAAGACACGGAGAGAAGGACTTAATCAGGGTTGAGATTTTGCCAGGCAAGAGAGAGAAAGAGAAGGAAAGGGCTGGACAGTGTCCTCAAGGGGATGATTGCAATGATGCGTCATGAGGTCTAGGCCAGGTAAGAAGGGACGGATGAGGGCCTGGTGGAGAGGAGGGCTGAGAGACTGTGGTGTGGACCGTGGACAGTAGGTCCTGGTGAGGCCTGAGAATTACTGAGTTGGGTACCGGATGGAATAAGCAGGAAAGGGAAGAGATAATCAGAAAGTCGAGGGTTCGAAGCTGGGATTGTGAAGGAAGTATTGCTGTTAAGATGGGACCGCTGAACAGCCCATTCACGGGTCAGCTGCATGGACAGAGGGCTTCCCCGGGGGCTCAGCTGGTTCCTGCAGTGCAGAAGCCTGGGTTCGATCCCTGGGTGGGGAAGATCCCCTGGAGAAGGGAACGGCTACCCACTCCAGTATTCTGGCCTGGAGAACTCCATGGACTGTCTAGACCATCGGGTCGCAAACAGTCCGACATGACTGAGCGACTTGCGCTTCACATGGGCAGAGGCAAATCATCTAGAACAAAAGAGGTGAATGTCTTGCCTAATTCTCACCCGTTTAGATCATCCTGAATACCACATTCAGTGCCAGACAAGATACTTTGAGGGTGGTAAATTATCATAAATTACCTAATGTGCCTTTGGAAAACAATGACCACGGCAGGTATCATGGTTATTGTTCTCCAATAACCACAACAGGGGCAAAGGCACAGCCTGGTGGGGAGAAGGTGTAAGGGCTGCTGGGTCGCAGGGGTGTGGTCCTGCCTCCAGAAGCCTGCAAGGTGTTCTTACAGAGGAGGAACTGGGCTTGTTTCTGTATATTTTTTCTCTTGTTTTACCCAGAGAAGAACCAGTTGATGAAATGTTAAAGGAGGAAGTTTTCGGCTCAGAATAGATCTGAGCTAACCTGCAGTGCATTAGACACTCTCTGAGAACGATTTCAAGCTCGGGCTGCGTGGCATCTGGGTGGTGCTGTCATAGAAGGAAGTGAAGCATCAGTTGTCCTCTAAGAAGCCTCCCCACCCCGGTGTCCATTCAGACTTCTGAAGATCCCCGTGTGGCCGGCAGGGTAGCAGATGAGAGATCTGAGGGCAGAGATCTGAGGGCTCCAAGAAGTCAAGGAACCTGTCCCAGGTCACACAGCATCTGGCAGGACGGCGAGCTAACCCTGAGCCTGCTGACTCCAAGGCCAGACTGCTTTCTGCAGTTACCTGTGGATGACACAGGAATGTGTTTGGCTTTGAGAGCACGTTTCTTTGGCTTCCTGTTTCCAGGGCTCCCTGCTTATCTAGTGAAGTCAGTAGTCATTCTGTGATTCCCCACAGAGAAGCCCTGCTATTCGTGTGAGAAGGTTAAATAAACTAGGATGTAAGAGGCTCCTCAAATTATCATTAAAATCCATTTACAGTCTCACAGACACACTCCCACAGTCCAGGGGTGAACCCTTGGGCAGGGATGTGCGTCAGCCAAGAGGAATGTGTCCTTAAGTGGAAAAGATGAGGGGTTGACACTTGCTTGTTTTAACTTTCTAATAAGCTGAAGCAGATGTTGCTGGGGATGCTGTAGGTGGGGAGTGAACCGGTCTCCTGGGATTATAGTAGCCCCATGATGGGGTACCCAGCCTGGGCAGACAGTGAGTCAGCCCCCCTGAGGCCAGACACCATGTATTTTAAGAAAGAGCCTTGAGAAACATTGATTTCTGCCTTCAACATCCTCCTCTCTTTTCAGAAGTCCTGCAAGTAAAAGCTCCACTTGCTTGCTTCTACCCACTCATCTTAAGAGTTTTTGGCAGAACAAAATAAGGTACTGTGGCTCAGCTGCTGCCCTAGGGTGTGGCCATTGGGGGAGACCCATGAGGGCAGAAGGAATCTCCATGTTACCTGCGAACCGCAGCAGTGAGCCACTGTGTGCGTCCGGCTCAGAGCTGACACACAGCCTGGTGTTCCCATGGCGAAGACTAGTCCTTCCACGCTTCCCACTCTCTCCCTGCCCTGCGCTGGGCCCCGGAGTGATGCACCTGAGTCGTAGGCTTTTCCCGATGGTTTCCACTTGTATTTTTCATTTCTGTTACTTACAGCAGAATCTATTCTAAGTTTGCACATGGAGCCCTAGTTCTGTCTGATGCTTGGCCTGGGCTGGACAGGCGTTTGATGTCTGAAGCAGCAGCTTCAGCCTTTATGCAGGTCGTGAGAGGATGTCACCCCCATTCTCTAGCTCCCCAAACTCTAAATATAGAGATTTCTAAACTCTTGATAAGAGTGATAACAAAGAAAGGAGATATTCGATTTTTTAAAATGTAACTTTAAAAAAAGAAAGTCATCTGCATCTTAGCTCCAGGAAAATGTCTTTTTGAGTCTCTCCATCTTTCTCTCCAGTTTTCTCTCTCTCTCTCTCTCTCACACACACACACACACACACACACACACCATCCTACACCAGAGACCTGAGGTTCATGCCACAGTTGGACCAGCACAGTATGACTTCCGTCACATTCTACTGGTTAAAGCAAATCACAGGTCCACACCCGATTCCAAGGGGAAAGAGAACACAAAGGTCTAAACATCAGGAGGCATGGCTCATTGGGAGCCACCAAGGTAACAGACAGCCACACCCCATCCAGCCTGGGACGGACAAGGAATAGGACAGCCAGCATTACCAGAGGCTGTGCCCCGGAAATGCAAGAAGGGCAGAGAAAAAGAACACCATCCTTCCACATAGAAACAGGGAGAGGCATCATCTACAATTGGTAGTCGGTTATTGAGTACCTGCTGTATATAAGACGCTGTGTCAAGTGTAGTCGGCAGTCCTCAGAGAAATAAACAGTCTGCTGTCAAGGACCTATGCATGCAGAGACATTCTTATCTGCCTCCTGGCGTTTAGACCTGACCTCTAAGCTTTCTCAGCCTCCGAGTCTCGTTAAGAAGAACTCTAGGATGGGAATATAAAGTTGGGAGTTACCAGTTCATAGATGATGTGTAAGGTCAAGGGCTTCCCTGGTAGCTCAGTAAAGGATCAGCCTGCAATGCAGGAGGTCTGGATTTGACCCCTGGGATAGGAAGATCCCCTGGAGAAGGGAATGGCTCCTCACTCCAGTATTCTTGCCTGGAGAATCCCATGGACAGAGGAGCCTGGTGGGCTGCAGTCCATGGGATCACCAAGAATCAAGACACAACAGAGCGACTAACACACACGTGCGT